ATTCTGCGACGCTGTTTTGCTGGGGAGAGTCATGGACAGTAAGTTGCCGCTCGATCCCTTGGTCCTGCAGGTACTTATCAAACTCTGCAGACATGTACTCTCCTCCTCGATCAAAACGGAGTATCTGAATGCTCGTGTTCGGGTGCTGGCACATGACATTGGCCTCGTATTGTTTAAATGCCGTAAGTGCCTCACTCTTTGCTTTTAAGAATCTGACCTTTGTTTCATGGGAGAAGTCATCCGTGAAGGAGATGTAGTAGGTACTACCATTGATGCTTGCCATCTGGGCCGGACCCCACACATCTGTGTGGATTAATTCCGCGTAGGTAAGTGCCCGATTCTTGGTCTCGTCTGGAAACGGCTGACGTGTGGCCTTAGATTTGATGCAGACTTCGCAAAATTCCGGCGCCGTCGACGTGTCAATGTCCATCCCCACCACCATCTTTGCCTCTGCCATCTGCTTCACTGCAGATTGGGATATATGCCCGAGTATACGGTGGGCTTGCGATAAGGTAAGCTGTCCTTTCGCAATGTTTGCATGGTGCTTAGGGTGTGCGGTGATGATATAGAGTCCATGGACTTGCAGTATCTCGGTGATCAGTGTCCTCTTTGGTCCCGTGGAGAAGATTCGACACATGCGGCCTTCAAAATGGACAGCCAGTCCTGCGGCCATTATCCAATTCATGGATACAAGGGTAAAGGCCATCTTGGGCCCATAAAGCGTGTTGCGGAGAGTGACAGTGGTACGTTTTGTACCCAGAGGTAAGTCTATTTTCATGTTTCCCCGTCCTATCGCACTAACTTTTGATCCGTCAGCCATTTGAATGTCCTGTGGGGCTATGGACTCAAAGTCCTCAAATCGTGAACGATCGGGGCAAAAATGGGATGTTGCGCCGGAGTCCATTATGGCTCCACAGCAGTCCATAGGTACGTTGAGACCCTCCGCTATACCAGCTAAGTCTGACGTAGCAAAGGCATGGTCATCTTTTGGGGGCTCTGGCTGGGACGCGGTATTGGCCGTTTGCTTCTGCGAACGGTCATTTCGACCTCTCCTCTGTCGGGGACCCTGTCCCTCCTTGTCTCCTCCCGGACACCAACAGTCACTTTTGTAGTGGCCTTTTCGGTTGCAGTTGAAGCAGGTAATCTCCTGGTTCTTTTCGTTCGTGCTTCCCGATGGCTTGGGCTGTGAGTGATGTGGTCTGGCTGCCAAGAATGCAGCATCCTTCCCTCATTTACTCGGACGACATTCAGTAAGCTGCCGACGCTCATACTCCTCGGTGATAATGCTAATTAGTTTGTAGGAGCTTAGTGGGGTCTTCGTGATCTTGGCAGCAGCACTAATGGAGGACAGTAGAGGTCAGTAAGACTCTGGAAGGGATCCTAGGATGATGGCATGGAAATCTGTGTCAACAAGTATCACGCCCATTCCAGCTAGCGACTCTCACAGCCTCAACAACTCGGTGAAATGCGCCTTCACATCCCCTCCTTCCTCGCATCTTGTCTCCTGCATGCGTCGACGTAAGTCTATCTGAACCAATTCCGTTTTTCCTTTGTGTATCTGACAAATTTCATCCCAGATATCAGATCCAGCTTTTAGCTTTTGGACCCTTAGTAGAAGGTGATCGGTGATCGTCGAGAAGATCTGTTGCTTTACCAGTGAGTTCTTTTGCTGGTATTTGTTGATCTTCTTGTCTAATTCGTCTATCTCAGTCTGCTAGGGCGTAGACCCATCCGGCTTCGTAATGGCCTTCGTTTTGGGGTCAACGTTGAACGGGGTAGGCTCGCTCGCGCAACCATCGGTATAGCGCATCAAACCTCGGGCACCTATAGCTGTTAATGTTCGTTCCTTATAGGTTATCCAGTTCGAGCCGTCCTCGGCAAGCTTCAGAACGTTAAACAGGTTGGAGTTGGAGTTGGGGAGCGCGGGTTCCATGGTCGGGTCAGGGCTCATAACCTGAAGAGATGACTTTCGAGCAGGAGACGTGTGATCGCTAAGACAAAAGGTAAATCTCAGTCTCTCATAGAAGAACTCTTATTAACGGTGTATGTACCTAAGACAAAAGGTAACTAGAAGATGTTAGAACATTGTAATAGCCGGGTGCGGAGATCTACTCACATCTCAGTCTCTCGTAGAAGAACTGAGATGTTCATACGCTACAAAGGCTTCTTTTAAAGGTGAGTAGCTTGGATACATGAATATTGAAGAAAAGATTGAACATATATTGTAGGACACGAGCTGACGTCACTCGTTGCTCGTCTACATGCACTCGTACCTCTCACTCTCCCCGCGTCACTATCTCGGATCTTTCAGTGCTCGATGACTCGGATCTCTCGGCGCTCGACATGCTTGTGTGTCTGTGATGTGTGTATGGCCTTGTGTGTCCTTGTGCTGATTTGTCAAAGATGTGGGAACTGTCACGAAATTGGTAGTTTGCTGATGAAGCATTATCATCCCGAAGTACATGAGAAACAGGGGTTGAACTCTGTGGACAATTGCTAGAGATATACTTATATACCCTGCCATATTACGTATTGATATGATGAAGCGGATCGCAATGGAGTCCAGGAGCATCATGATTGGGCCAATGTTGTGTCATGGCCCTCCATCGTGAATGTTCGGGATGGGTACGTCTTGTTTTCTATTTGTTGTTAGAGTGTAGTTGTACTCATTCGAGATTTGTCCTTGTTCTTGATGTGCTGGTCTTGACTAAAGCAATTTCATGAAGCTACAACATACAATACACCAAACCTCAATATTCAATACAAGCACCTTTCTTTCACAATCCTATGCCTGAAATCTGACTGCATCTTTCTGCTTGGTTCGAATTGGCTATTGACCGGGAAAGACAATTCGTAGCCTAAACCACTGTCGGAGTATGCTCAGTCCCTCGGCTTCTAGCCCACGTTTCTGGTCCCTACAATATTCCGGTATCTATGAGCACATCCGCTGCAACAGACTGATGGAGTGCTTACCAATCTGTTATTGATTCTCTGATTCTTGATTCTTCTCGCGAACCACTCCGCAGAAGTAGAACCAGTCTCGAAATTTTTGTCAGGTCGCTTCTTCACCGCATCTGCAATAATATGGCTGGATTCAACAAGAGCCCGCAGGACCTTCGAGTTGCCCGGGCGGGTGAAGAAAACCAAGGACCACCGCTCGTATTCAGCCTGTACACCAGGAGGCGCACTATCCACGGTCATTCGGCAGATTAGCAAGGTTGATAATTCAAGTACTCATGCACGCACACAACACGGTGAATGTTGGATTGCAGGACGCCTCCGCTGAAAAGAGATAACGCATCTCCAATATTGCAGACAGCATGTCCAGGGATGGGCTATCAGTAGATAAGTGTCTGTTGTACGTGCACGGGAGCACCCGACTCGTGCTCACTCGAATGTAGGACCACTCTTCATGACCTGGGGGAAGTACTTGGAGTCCACCGAGGCGATTGTGCAAGAAGCTCTGGTAAAGTTTGATTAAAAAGACAAAACCCACGTGTCCAGGTACCCACCAGGCTGCCGAAATCAGTATGCGCACCTAGCGCAGGGATTTTCGCTGCTTCTTTGATCTGCACAGGAGGGTTACGAATACATCTAGTCTCACTACCACTATGCTCCCCCATGTCATGCAGACTCTCCAAAGTCCCTTTCGGCAGTCCAAGCTTGTCGTTGAGTATATTCAATACAACATATGTCACTTCGAGACCTTTGCGGGAAAATGGTGCAATCGTGTTTTCCATGCGAGCATTTACGGTTGATGGGTAGGTGCGGTGAATGACATGCGGGTATGCCAGAGCATCATCCTTAGAAACGTTTAAAAATTCGACAGAGTCCAAGGTGCCTGCGTTTGCGTCAGCCTACTACTTAGTAGATTGGTCTAGAAATCCTACCAGCTGCATCAATCGCATTAGCCCCTGCTTTCTTGTATCTGATAAGGAATCCATATAAAAGAGAGGCGCTCGTGAGCTAAATCAAAACCAACCCGAAAGATCGACCGTTGTCTCCTTGCTCGAACGTCATGAGTTCTTCGAAGGGCAAAGCCATTGTCTCAGCTCCCATATCAAACATCTCGCTGACTTCTTGGTCTGCGCCGTGATTCTTTAAACTGTTAGAGTTAAATCCGGCATGAATTCAACAAAGTATTTAAATATGACGTACTACCAGAATCCGATAGTCGTCGCAGCCTCCCACAGTCGATTTACTTCCTCCACATCTCCAGCCTTGATGAGCTCATAATCAATAATCAAGAGTGGATGTGTTCGAACATCGTTGGGGAAAGGAGGAAGAGTGCTTCCAGGCATAATATGATCTAAATAAGGATGTGAGGATGGTCATCGTAGTATGGTTAAGAGTGGACACACCAACTTTGAGTGGAGGTGGTAGGGTAAGTACTAGAGAATGCTTTGAAAGTGCTATGGGAACTTAACGACACCATTATATACTATGTGAAGTAGTGCAATCACCACCTGACCTCCAATAGCATCATCAGTATTACCTATAAGTACTAGTGTACGTAGTGACTTTCCTGTTAGAATCATGGGGCAACGCCTGCGTGCGTAACGTTATGTAATCAACCTTATGATGCTTGCAGCTAGCGCAGAAAAGTACCGCACACTAATATTAGAGGCAAATTCGGTAGGGAGCGTAGTAGCCAACAGACGGGTATGTTCAGACCGTGAGATGTCATTTTTTCATCACAGACAGGCTGCAAGTTGAGAAAACGAGCTGATCAAGGCGTACTAGCTTGAGCCTGAGGGAAAGATCCAACTGCAAACCAATATGATGTGTTGTGATGCGACAGTGACAGGAAACGGGAGCATAGCGAAATGCCAATACCGGGAGCAGATATGGGACAAGGATGGATTGGACGAGCGTTAGCCTAAGGGTTACCGACAGTACTCGACGAGATTCCTGGCTGCTAGTAAGAAAAAGATACAGTTAGCTGTAAAAGTCCTTCAGTACGAAACAGTCATGTAGGCTGAAGTCGGCCGACGTGCTAATCATTGCGAAAAAGTTGCTAGTAAGTCTTTATTCCTTGGGATGAACTTGCACTTGAATGGTTTGGGGAACCTTTGGGCGTGTAAGCATGCGTTTCAGGCTCATAGAGTGAGGAGTTACCAGAGTAAACCAGAACTCTCGAACTCTGCAGGAGGCGTGATCTCTTCCCCTCTCGCATCTAGTGCTTTACTGATCGTGAACGCAGTAAGGATACAAGAAATACTGAGGTACAATGAGGCTTCGCCGAAATGTAACCCTGGAATAAGATACCACCGTTCAGTGGCGGCTTGGATAGTGTCATGTAAAGGACACGCACCAGGGCATCTGCGGCGCCCGAACCCAAAGATAAACTTCCGTGGGTCCAATTGGGGCGAGGGACCGAGGAATCGCTCAGGCCTGAATTCCAATGGATCAGGGTACATCCCCTTATCCCGTGACATGGAAAGAATATCTGCGATGACGGTTGCACCCTTGGGTATACGGTACCCTTCGTAGACATCTTCCCTCATCGCGTAGTGCGGAATCCCTGTGTCACTAAGAGTAAACGGGAACTAGGACAAAAAAAGTCATCTGGCTGACCTTGCGGAGCCACAGGTGCCCAGCGGAGGAGTTCCTGGATGAGCGCTCCGATGTACGGAAGCTTGCTTCTGTCGTCAAATACGGGAAATCGGTCCTGACCCACGACGGCATCAATCTCTGCCTGCGCATGCTTCTGCACCTCTGGATAAAGCAGCATCGCCAGGATAAAAGACGACAAGGATGATGTTGTCTGTTCATTGTTTTCAAAGTCACATGAGAAAGGGTGCAAAAGACATCGATATCTTACAGTGTCTACCCCCCCTGCATAGATCCCCAGACTGCACCACTTGGTGATCTCTTCTTGTTGGGCGCTGACCGTGGACCCGTCCTCTGGAAGGAGCTGTTCTGAAACGAAGGAATGCGTGTAGTTACCACTGTGCTGATCGACGATAAGAATTGGTTAGGGTTCCGGATAACGGGAATTCCCAAGACTGCTTGGCAGGGCTTACGATTTGTTTTTTTGCCCAGTTAAATGGTATCATGTCGAGCCTACTTAACTTTTGCCCGAGGTCGAAGGCTACACGCTTGAAACCTGCCCCTGGAAACCATGCAGGTAGAAAACGCACTCATATGAAAGGTCGGTAAGCTGAGTTTTATGATAACTGGATGAAAGGAAGGCATACATAATGGTACGGTATCGACCAACCAACGTCCAGGCTGGGCTAGTATGGCGCTCATTTCCATGCTTTCTTTCAGGATATTGATAAGATAGTCGCTATTCTCGGTGACCTTCCAACCATATGCGACATTAAGGACAACGGCCGCCGTGTTCCTAGACGCTCAATGAGAAACAAGCAAAACTAGCAATCGCAAGAATCTCACGTTCTGATTTGCTCGATGAAATGTTCGGGGTTCTTGTGCAGAATACCAAGCAGTATATGAGATTGTTCGGTTTGCAGTGACTGGTAGCTTTGTATGGCGCGGGAACTCAAACTGGCTTTGAGGGTTGTGCGATACGTCTTGAAATACGGGTGAGTGCAGGATATGTTGAACGGATTCAAGTTGCGCTTGGCAAGTTCTGTCTGCATCCATACCCTTGGACGATCAGAATATATAGTGGCGCGTGAGTCGAGCAATTCAGTAGCCGATTGTAGGGAGCTGAGCACTATAAACTGCCGATTAGGCACGTGGAAAGAGAATATGGGCCCTACGAGACATGGGTCAGAAGTGCCGTAGCAAACGGGAAATTGAACAATGTGCACCATAGCTTTCAGCCCACTTGGCATACGTTAGCCAAGGCTCTTTCTTTGGTAGTTGATGAGCATTTCCGGTAAAGAGCTTTGGACATGGCCCGGGGGGTAATGGTAATTTACTGTATCGACGGCTGTAGAAGAAAACTGTGGCCAGTACAGCCACAAAGAATATGAGTGTACCAGAAGACATTTAGCAGACAACAGGTCAGCTTTTGCAGTTTACGTTCTGAATTCTTATAAGTATCCGCAGATGATATAAGAGCTAGTTCGGCAACTCGATATTTTCGATATTTTTCAATATTTGCTTTGGCATGTTTGCGAAAATGTTCACCGGCATCGTTCCGAGATGTCGGAGCTCGAACCTTGCTTCTCTCCTACTGTACATATTATCAATGGATGTATACCCTCATCTAACCCTAGAGCGGCGTAAGAGGCTTTTTGCTGGTGCGGTCGCGATCACTGCGATCTGTGCACAGTACACTACTCTTCTCATGGCCCAACCTGAAGTCAATGCTCCCCCTCACTCCAAGGCCCCACCAGCGCAGTGGAATGATGTCGAGACTGTTACCCTTGTAGACTATCTCTATGATCATCGCTCAGAGGCTGAAGGGGCAGGCAACTTCAAGCAGCAGGTTCTTGGCTCTGCTGCAGAGTTCATCAACAATCATGAGGCGCTTCAATCCACTCGCGCAGGTCCACTGAAGACAGCGAAATCAACTCGAAACAAGTGGACATCAGTAAGCCCTATTTGATCTCATCTGATCTAAGCTGACGAGTCTCATCTAGCTTAAAAACATATTTCATGCTATCGAGAAGTACCGCAACCAGACAGGGGTCCACTGGGACAATGAGACTGGAGCTGGGATTGAAGGAACTGCGGCTGCGGCTGTATGGACATCGTATGTCAAGGTATGTCCCCTCTTCGTCATATTGATTTGAGCGCTGACTTTTGTCAGGCAAATAACCTCATGCGTCCTTTCCGCAACAGGGGATGGGAGCATTATGAAAAAATGCAGACCATCATCCCATTGGGCGGCGCTAGAGGGCGGCACGTCTTCCGTCCAGGTGGCGCTGCTCCCTCCACCACCAATGCTGATAACGATCTTGCGGATGCTGCTGGCCCATCAAGCACTGCTGCTGTTCCTGCTGCTCCAAGCGCTGCTGCTGTTCCTGCTGCTCCAAGCGCTGCTGCTGTTCCCGCTTCTGCAGGCCCATTAAGCACTGCCGCCACCCGGGGGACCGAACCATCTGGAAAGCGCACGTATCTTGAATAGAACGGGTCCGACGTGAAGATGATAAGCATCTTGCGGAAATAACTACATACTATTAGATACTGTCACTTGAAATAAAATAAAATAAACTCACCGTGAAATCGTTTCGTTCGAGCGTTGAAATCTCTCCGCAACATGCCTGATTGATAGGCCAGTCACAGAGGTGTAAAGAAAAATCGCAAGTTGTTCCTCGAGGGACACAAACTTGGAGTCTGAATGGCCCATGGTGCGAAGCTCGGAGATAAGCTCCACAAATGCATTGGCGCGCATGCCAAGCTCACACCTGATGCGCTCTGGGTGACCAGTGAGCAACTCGATCACCCAGTCTTGCCCAGTTAGCGCTGAAGTGTGATAGGGCTCGGGATCTTTGGGATATATTGATTGTAGGATGCCGTGCGTAGAAGCAACAACGATGCTGATTACGAGTACCATGCATTTGAGGAGTCGTTCCCGGACCTCTGGCCGAGGATTCGTCATGAGCGCTGCTAGGCGTTGGCGCTCCATCGCGAACCCCAGTGGTTGGGGATCCATCAAGGTATATACCCTACCCTCATTATCACTGATCTTGTTGATAAGCTCAAATTCAAGCTCCGAATCGCCTTGGACTTAGGGGGAGCATTGACTTCAGGTTGGGCCATGAGAAGAGTAGTGTACTGTGCACAGATCGCAGTGATCGCGACCGCACCAGCAAAAAGCCTCTTACGCCGCTCTAGGGTTAGATGAGGGTATACATCCATTGATAATATGTACAGTAGGAGAGAAGCAAGGTTCGAGCTCCGACATCTCGGAACGATGCCGGTGAACATTTTCGCAAACATGCCAAAGCAAATATTGAAAAATATCGAAAATATCGAGTTGCCGAACTAGCTCTAAGCGATGCTGTCACCGGTCTGGTTTCTGGTCCATCTACGGCATTGATTACGCTCTCAAAACACCGCATCACGAGCGCAGGAAGCCCCGGACTCTTGCGAAACAAGTGACAGCAGGCCCCGGGGAGCAGCTTCTGTCCTAAAACATTTAGTTCCTGGTGACAGAATGGCGTGGAGACTTAACTCCGTGAGCTCTCTATCTGTGAGTAATGTGCTGTCTTGAAACTATGTTTCCATTTGCTTTCAGGTGGCTTAGTCAGCTGTAACAGTAGTTTCATTAATACTTGCTTCTTCCTGTGAAATATTCGACGGTCCTTGAAGCCCAGTCAAAACCTGCTGTGATGGGAGAGGGCAGGATATGTTGAGATGCGACCCTGGGGAGAAAAACACATACGAACATATCCTTCCCCGCCTCGCCCTGTAGCCGGACGAAAAACATTAGCTGGGGCAGTGTCTCTGGCGCTCCCATGAGTCAAAAACATATACAGACATATTGTAGCACATTTATGTCCTTGACTTGTGAATATGCTCGAATAGTGTCAAATCTGCTGGTATGCTCGAATAGTGTCAAATCTGCTGGTATTTCGTGATATCGTATCTACGACAGGTATTGTAATACACGATTCGAAAGCAGGTAGAAACCGGTAGGAAAAAGCACGAAAACGCGCTCAAAACATTCGAAAATGGTGCGGAGGTGGGCCACAGAGTGTACACAGATCGGAATGGGACCAATAGAAACATGTAGAGTCCAGACATCGGTGTCGAGGCAGATAGTGGCAGGATTGAGTGCGTCCGAGTCGATCATCGAGAACTAGTATACCAGGCCTTCACAAACACCTTTGGTCCAAGCGTTGTCGGCAACCTGCAGTGGCCCACTCAGAATAGTGGCTGTAGCAACATCGTGGTCAGTGTTAGACGCACCAATTTAGCTGCTTCATCGTCGTACTTCTTAAAAAAAAAAAGACTTGGTTAATCATAAGTAAATAAAGTGAAAGAAAATGACCTACCTTGCGCTGCTCTGGCGTCAAATTCGTGTAGTATGTGCAGAACTCCTCCGTTGTCCCATTTGTCTTCAATTGCTTCAGCCAGCGCAGCGCGCACAAGTTGCTACTCGGACGAACTGTTAGTAATGTGACTCATTAATGCACCATTTCTGAACGCACCGTCCGTTTCTAGTGGGACTCGGGCGCATCTTTGCTTTGCCTCCGGTTTTTGTAGCCTTACTAGTTGAGGCCTTCGCAGAATCAGATGACGTGTTAGTGGGTGCGGACTCCGAGATGGGAGGAAGTGGAGAGAAGCTGATTTGCGCAGCAGCGGTTGCGAGTGCAGTACTATAAAACATTAGTATTAAATAAAAACAATCTGGTAGATGGCTTACAGTGGATTCACGACTTTGATTGGCTTTGGCGCGGGAATATTTGACGGATTCTCCTTGTCTTCGAGAGATCTTGTAGGAGAGCAATGGGCTGGCACTTGCTGTTTGAAAGGAGATTGTAGTACTGGGACAACTTCGGGCACAAGCACTGGAGGTGCAGCGATCTCGGGAGTGGCTTCCAGGTCTTTCTCCACAGCTTGAACTAGGTTCTGTGGTGGCTCGTGGTCGCGTTGTAGTGGCTCGTGGTCATGTGGTGGTGGCTCGCGATCGTGTGGTGGTGGCTCTTGGTCGTGTGGTGGTGGCTGTTGGTCGTGTTGTGGTGACTGTTGCTCGCATTGTGGTGGCTCCTGGTTGCATTGCGGTGATTGGCCTTCCAGGGACAGGGTTTGAAGAAGAGGGGACGAGGACACGCCGTCAGGTGGAGACAAGACTTCGCAAGTTGATGATGATGCTGGTGTCGGTGGTAGAATAACATCGGTTACATCAACTGGTGTATAGTAGCATCGGCTTCAGAGAAGAAAAATATACGAAACAGCCAAAATGACGAACCTTTGATTTTCTTTGCGAGGGCTTCAGATTTGAAGCGGTGTTGTCGTTTCCTCCCTTTCGAAGAGCTTGGCTTTTCGTCATCGCTATCATTGTCGTTGTCGTTCTTCTTTGCTTTGCGGTAGTTGCCAAAGTCGTCCAGATGGTTTCGTCGCCATGAAGAATAAGACGATGTAGCAAGGAAGTCAAGTTTCCAGTTATTGTGAGCCAACTTGAAGATAGGATGCGCATTGTCCATGATAGTATTCACCAACTGAGTTCCGGATGCTGAGAGTTTTCCCCAGGAGGATGGCGCTAGATTACGGGTGGCAAGCTCAGACCATGCCCCCCGTAGTGACTTTCGGATAGCTTCAACCACGGCTTCCGATATCGAGTTGCCATTTTCATCCTCCAGGAAGGGCAGTTTTCCGCGATCGCCTGAGGTTGCCTCCACAGAATCCAACCAGTCGAGGTAGTCCGCTTTGTTCCAGAAGCGGACCTTGGGATGCGTCTGAGCATTTGGGCGGTGGGAATCACTTGTTGGAGCAGAAGTGAATTTAGGGTTGAACTGAAGGGGGTCAGTGACAGGGATTTGTACAGCATTGGCGAGCGTTTGAAAAGCAGCCCTGTCAGATCAGTGAGTCAGAGTCAGTCTAAACCAAATTAACAAAATGATACGTACATGATGGTATCACGTTCAGCTGTAACTTTGAGAATTTGCATCTCCAGAGTCTTGCAGTGTTCACGCAAGGCCTGGAGCTGCTGATTATCGTGCATATATGCACTCTATAATGTATCTTGTTAGTTCCCAGACTTGAAAAATTCATCAGAAATGAAAGCACCCGTTGAAACAGGGTCAGCATGGGTTGTGGGATCCTCGGATCGGTTATAAAAGGATCCCCGGAGTCAGGCAACGGCATATGACCTGAAGACAGGGGTGCTGGTGATGGTGTATATTCCCCGAAATGCAGATTCCGTGAAGGATAACCTGGAGTTTGATCTGAATTAAACATAGACGTGCTGTGAAAATTTAAACTTCCAGTGTCACTGGAGAACATTCTGGCAGTGTGATGGAGGTACGAGACAAAACTTGCATGTACAGTAAGGCCAATGATATAATTGTAACTCCGCTTGAGGCACATAACTTTGGCGCGTCGCGTCGCGTCACATTCATTTAGAAACTCTCATCGGCTTTATTATGTCCTCGCCTACTGTCGTTGATAAAACTGATACCGTCACTGTGTGTGGGGATGTTGTCTTCTTTGAAGTCGATGGGGTGTTACCTAACTGGAAGACTTACACATTCAAAGCCTCATTCGATGGTCCTGGAACCAAGGTGTGTTTGATTTATTTCGTCCATATCTAATATAGTGCAACTTTTAGACTATCCTTTTCCGTCTGCGAGGGGGAGCGGACCCAGAGGTTACCACAAAGTATGTTCGTCATACATATAGAATGTGTTTACATTCATTACTCATCTATTACAGCCTGGAGATCAGCGAGACAACGAAGGTGGAGAAGGCTGAAGAAGATACGAGTGTGAAGTTTGAGGAAGAGGATACCATGATTGGCGGCTGTGAAGATGTAGAAATCAAGCAGGAAGATGTGGAACTTGATGGAACAAGGTATGTTATTGTGCGTATAAGTGTAGCATATACTCATGGTCTTTTTTCAGTGCATGTATTGATGGCATCATACAGTGCACTGCGCTACCATGTATTCACCTTCCCCAGATTACTGGCAACCCAGACCCTAACACCAGGGACATCATGCTCGCAGAGATGCATCCTTGGCGCCATATTGTCAGGCCATTCTCTCCATCGGAGATCCCAGAACGAGTGGAGGACATGAAGCAGGGTAGGAAGCGGCCTGTCCAGTGGGTTTTTTCTGGCTAGCCTAGACTTCGTTGAACCTTTGTATTTTACTGTAATTGCATACGAGTCGCATATCGCATATTGTGCTCTTATCATGTACTTTCTTGCAGAAAAAAAAGCAATCAAAGATGGATGTACTCGCTCGTAATATTGTGTGAACAAAAAATGGAATTAAGTGAACAAATCTGTATTCTACTACTCTACGTCTACGTTGTTGTCATTGTCATCCTCGTCAACGTGGTTGATCCCAAGATTCGAGATCTGTAATCCAGGCTTCTGTAGCATAAAAAATCGATCCTCGATGACACCAGAGGGTAGTTTGGGCGTATGCGGAATCATTGCTACAACACTGATGATCTTCTTCACAGGAACAACACAGACATCATCGAGGGGAGAGCAGGATGCTACGGTATGTGAGGAGAGTTGGAAGAGGGCATCGTCGGGAAGAGAGTACAGTTGGATGATTGCAACATCTGCAAAACGCCAATCTGCATCATCAAGAATGTCCGCTTCGACAGCCAACCGAGTGAAGTATAGAACCTCGCCATATCGTTCCTGCCCATTGTATTTTAGCTGCAGTACTATCATGTGAGTAGCGTGTTTAGTATAAATTTAAGAAAACAAACCTGAACGTTGCGAGACACACGAATTTGCTCAAGTGCTTTGAGATTCTCCCTCCATGCTGAACGTGCCACTTGGCCATTAGGTAGAAGGAGGCGAGCCCATCTTTTGATACGAGGGAGATCACGCTCATGTCCGAGAAAGTTAGAGATTGCTTGAGCAGGCTCTCCGGTTGGCAACATAGCATATCTATCACGTTTGCGAAGCAGTGCGTATCCATCTCCTAAGTCAACAGCTCCAATTGGAAGACCTTTGGGAGGTTCATCGAGCTCGGGCATAATGGACAGGAGGGTATTGACTTGACAGCGCCGCACACCTTCTTTCGAAAGGTTAGCATAAGGGTTGGAGGGTTGCCGAATTTCTTGACCAAGGTTTCCGATTGTTCGTTCCATGGTCCATTGAGCATAACATATTGGGGGACCTTTTCGTATTGTCTCTGGTACAAGGTGACTTGTCTGGTGAACGCATGGCCGAACGAATTGGAGTCGGTCCTCCTTGAGTTGATAATAGATCATCTCGAACTCGCGTTCCCATGTGCAAAGAAGGATATGGGCGTTTGTAAGATCTTCGGCAGTTATGGAGTGCTGGCACATCAACTGGAATCCCCGCACGAGCTTACAGTAGTTAGCCCAGTACAACTCAGGTAGGATACCATAAAGTAGGGCGGGGCCAAGTCCGAAGGTGTATACCTGAAATTCCCAGGTCTTGTACCCGGTGTTGAGCTTTTCAGCGATATTGCGAGGTTTTCGATCAAATGATCGTGGAAGATACGACCCTGCCCGCTCGACTTCTGCGCCATGGGTGTCCCAAACCTCTCCGTCTTTTAGTACAGCCCAATCCCAAGTGTTGATGTTGTCGCTTGGACCACAATCAATTGTGGCACGCCAGAGACCAAGTAATAGCTCGCTGAGATTGCCTGCAAGGTGCATGACGTCGGTTGTCATGCAATGAGGGACTCCAAGACAGCGAGACGAATGAAGACCGAGAATTAATGGAGGCTTGGTAAGACCAGTCTCTGTCTTGCGAATCTCCCACTGACGCTGATTTGGTGATGCAACAAGCCGACGCAAGTTGTCAGCATAACTGTCAGATCCTGAAGGTGGTAGGTTGGAGACGTTGATGTCACCATGGTCACTTCCTGCAACACATCGATCGCGTGGCTTGAGGAGGGCAGGATAGTAGTGTGTTCCACGAGTCTTTCGTCTGCCAGTTATCTCACAATACAAGCGACAGCCATTCTTCCCACTGTGCCCCACCATACCATCCCAATATACCAATCCGGGACCATCTGCAGTCGTGAATATGAGGTATAGATCTGATGTGAATACTATATTGCGAGAGGAGTCCCAGATATGCAGTCCTTCCGTCTGAAGCGCTGCGAGATGGTGAAAACCAACGACAAGGAAAGAGTCGAGAATTTTTGGCTTGTTCGGTCCTGGGATGAAGCCACCTGGACGTACGTGAATCTTTCGATAACGCTTGTCTGGTGAGAGGTTCACAATAATCCAAACATACATCCAGCAATCTGAATTTTTGCTCTCATAGAGCTGTGCCCCATCGAGAGACACCATGAGAACGATATCGTTCTCTTTGATTTCTCCATCAGCGACAGCGCCGAGATAATCCCACCCCATAGCAATGTCATCTATGATAGAAATCTTGCCTGTTGTCCGGAGCTCCTCAAGAACTTGTTGTGTGCGTTCATGAAGGTAACGCATGTTGCGAGCACTGTCTGGATGACGGTATAATGATTGCAGCTGGGGGCCTAAGGGTATAGTTGAAAACTTCTGCGCTGCGACCTTGACACGTCCATTTGTTGAGTGTAGTCGTGCCTGATCCCAACGAGATGCATCGCAGATAGGACAATTGTCAAGGTGGGCATATGGGCCAGTATAGGCAAGGCACGTATTAGGGCACATGTCGTGGTCAATTGACTCGACACCGGTATATTTCGATATCAACTTTTCTACCGCATAGAAGCTCAGGATATCCTCATTCCCTTGAGCAAAGTTGCGCATCGTGGATCGTTGTATTCGATTATAAGCATCCTGAGACGCATGTTCAAGCGCTAAATACATTGAGATACTGTGACGGATACCAGGTCGATCGATGTCGATTGGACCTTGTGGTGGGTTGCGCAGCCTGTCGAGTGCATCATCCGACAGCTTAGAGATGGGGTCATCCAATGAAGCATTCTTCAAGAGGAGGATAAACTCCATGGCGTCCTTGATTTTGGGGAAAACTGCGCTCTGAGCGAGGTGCTCGACATCAACATTAGGCTTCCTCCTGCGTTCGAAGTCGATTTCATACTGATGAGCAAGGTCGTCTTGGGGGGGGAGGGGCTCACGCTCGTCTGGAATTGGTTGGTCGTCTGGAGCTGGGGGGACGATGCGGTCATCTTCAATTGGTTGGTCGTCTTGGGGGGGGAGGGGCTCGCGCTCGTCTGAAATTGGTTGGTCGTCTGGAGCTGGGGGGACGATGCGGTCATCTTCAATTGGTTGGTCATCTTGGGGGGGGAAGTGCTCGCGCTCGTCTGGAATTGGTTGGTCATTTGACTATCAAGTTGGTGGAATCAGTATCCTTTGAGGAGATTCAATGAATAAAATGATTCCTCACCTCAAAATCATCGTCCAAAGTTATTGTGTCTTCATCCACTTGCGGGCGGCTCATGTGCTCTTCAGCCTCAGGTAACAAGTCCGGCACTGTACTGCGTGCACGCTTGCGATGTCGAACACGTTTAGCATCAGATATCTCTCGGGATCGCTTCGCGAGTTCCTGTGCTATTGCAGCACGACGAGTAGCAGAAGGTGCTGCTTCGTTGGTTCCATGACGCGCAGCCTGCATTCTGGTTTTCTCTTCTGTCGTTTCGGCCTGTTGAAGGTGCTCATACCATGTTGTTCTCGAGATTGTGTGGGGCCGACCGAAGTTGTGCTTGCTACAGATGCATATGAATTTAGCTGCGCTAGCAGATTGCTCCGAATTCGAGCTTGACGGTAGCATATAGAATACTAGTAGTTTGACCTTAGATGTCAAAATCGACGCAAGTATAGCATAATACTACATACCTAGTGTGAGAGAAACACTTCGATGCAGGTAGTACAAGCAGACGACGTAATGTTACAATGCGAAGTTTGCGTGTTTGGATGTAAAAACGTTGTGATGTATAGCATTCGTGCAGTCGCAACGTGTTGCACTCAAGGATTACCGATTTCGACAGAGAGAAGCACATTTCGACATAGTACTAATATGGTAAGTCACATTTCAACGTATCCTGCCCTCTCCCGTCACAGCAGGTTTTGACTGGGCTTGAAGCTTGAAGCTAGATGCATATGTGGAATTTGCAGCCCGAATTTATGTTGATCATGAACGAAGTTCGAGCGATCATGAACATAATCACCGTGACAGTCCCAAGATTTGTCATATGTACCACGTCACAGGTGCGTCACGTCCGCGTCTTGAATTTCACCTGTCCCCTTGCTATAACAACGACTGTCCTAATACTGCGACTGCGCCCACATCGCATCATTGTACCTTGAAATTTGTCGCCACTCACTTGAGATCTCTTCTCAGATCTACACTGAAACCGTACAATATCATTACAGACATGCCATGGATCAACGAGATCGTCATATAGTAAGCCCAACATGCCTGCCACGATGTATCTAATGACAAAGAACACAGACTGGCGATATAAATTGAATCTCATGTCAGGGACTTTGCAACAGTATGAGCGGCGTTACTGAAACATGACTGTCCAAAGCCTTCGCATGACAAGGAAACGCTTCGACAGCTCTCTACGCTCAAAGATCATCAATTACTCAGATATACCTGGCTACGTCGACCGTCCTCACTACCCAGAGTTTTTCGTCACTGAAAATTTATCGACTCACTAGTACCACTTTTGCAATATGTAACCTGAACTGATGATACCAGCACGGTAAGCATACTATTGCTATCAATCTTGCTCGACTGCAATCAATGGTCATAAAGATACATTGATACTATTACAATCATTAATGCATATATCGTCCATGTCAAAGTTCATGCAAGTCTAAGTCAGTCCAGTCTAATTAAATATTTGGGCAACTTGCAGTCCTACCACAACCGAAACCTGCGTCGTCGTCCAGGGGAATCGTCCTCCTCTATAACATTATTACCTCTAATAACCTTCAGGAACACGCTTTCTAGTGTCGCCTTTTCTACAGTGTACTCCTGGAAATCGCCTTGGGACGAAAGAATATGGAACAATCGCGCGAGGGTGAAACCACTGCCTTCTTGTATGGGAACTTCGAAGCGCGTAGCAACATCGTCGGCTAGACGGGAGCCTGGAATCCGACTCATGAGAACCTGAGCTCTAATCACGTCCTCTCGTGTCGGACAAGAGAAATGCACTTGGTACGTGGCATAACGCGAGACCAGGTTGTCGATTGTACCAACAGCTGCAAAGGCGATAAGATATTGCAGATATCATAATGAAGATGTGCCTACCCAATAATTGTTTAGAAATGATGCCAACCTTATTTGCCAGAGCTGAAGCTTCTTCCATGGAATCTAGACAGCCATCTAAATTAGAGGCAAGGTCAGGATGATTTCAAAGAAAACGTACGTGTTGTGATAACAATTGCTTTTCCGACAGCGACGTTCCGGAGAGTGCCCCACATATCTCTTTTCATCTTCGCATCTACTCCCGTAGAAAACTCGTCAATGAGAACAACGGAGGGGTTACCTGCATATGCTCATGTCAGCCATCCCATCCACCTGAAGTTTCAGAACTCACCAATAAGGGCGATAGCAAGAGAGAGCTTGCGCTGATTCCCGCCGGACAGTTGACTCGCTAGTCTGTCAGCATACACATGCAATGATGTAGCAATCATGAGTGCCTCGATATTTGTCTTCAGTTCAAAGCCTCTCTTCAGGCCTTTGAGACGTCCATAGATCATGAGGTGTTCCCGAACAGTCAACTGAGAGTCGATCGCAGTAAACTGTGGGCAGACTCCCAAAGATAGACGTGCGGTTCTCGGAGAGGTTAACACTGATATCCCCTTGATCAATACATCTCCCATATCCGGAACAATGTCGCCACCTATACAACACAGAATCAAGGAAATAAGTCTCAGAGCGTAATCGTCGTATCAGGTATACATACGAATCATGTTGAACGTTGTAGTTTTGCCAGCCCCATTAGGCCCAAGCATAGCAAAAATAGTATCCCGAGACACCCCGTAAGACACGTCATCGACAACTTTATTGCTCCCAAAAGTCTTGGTAAGATGAAGAAGACGCAGCACATCACTGGAGTTTGCTACCGCGTGCGCTTCAGCGGCAACGTCTTGTCTGTTAGCCTCGAAACTAGCCTGCAACTTATCCATTCGTACTCGCCGTCCCTTGGTAT